TTTTGGCTGAACTAGGCATTTACATCATGCAGGTTTTACCTACCTCCCAATGATGACAGTCCTTTGGAGGTTCAATTTAAATGTGCATTTTTGACCATGTACTTTTAATACTTAAAATGGGGAGAGGATACATATGGGGTAATCAAAAACCATGATTCATAGACAAACAGACAGCACCATGACCAAAAGAAGAAAGACACAAGTCCTCATAACACTACTACCAAAAGTATAAAGAGCAACAGAAACCCGACAAGAACTGGTGGTATTATATGGTGCTCCAGAAGGGTAAGCAGTTCCTGCACCAGGCAGTCAACCACTTTTGGAGAAATTGGTTGCATTTTTTAGGATTATCAACTCTTCAACTTAAGACCCTTTATTAATTTTTCTATGATAGCATTCATGGTGTACAGTTCATCTCACTACAGTCGTTACTGCTTTACTGCTGTAAATAGACAGATATATTAAAGCTATTTTAAGACCAATTAAATCTGTTATGGTCTTTTTTGACTTCCCAGAAAGGAAAAAGCCTCCTACTCAACACAATTGAACCAGACATGTAACTATGTATTAACTTTCTTCATGGTCTGGAATATAGATTCTATTACCCCCTTTGGACAAACATTAATTGTTTACTTTAATTCTGAAAACGGATTGAATCCTTTTTTGGATCAACAAACAATTAATATGGCCATTATTACAGTTATAAAATATTATCAACCTGTTTGATAATAGTTATAACCAAACATATCAATATCCCTAGTATATACTTATAAACATCTGACACCTGTATTTAATGTGTTATGTCCACTTGTCAAATAGCCAGTGGTCATTGCTCTGGACATAAAACATGGACACCAGGGCCATCACTACATAAACTTTCTATTTTCTTTGTGGAGACGAAAAGATAAACTATATTTTTATTATCAAAGCTTTTTCTGATCATTTACAAGATATTTTTGACACTCCATAGATAAAAACAGGGTGTATAAAGAGTATTCTGTTGAAAATAATATGCAGTTTGTCAATAGGGCATGTTTTCAAGTACTGAAGTTTTGTGATTTTTTTTGCTTGAACATGTATATTTAATAAAAATGATTATGATATAATAAATTAAACAAACTTTGTTTATGTTATATAAACAAGTGTGTTAGCTGTTATCTTTGATATTTCTTTCTTTTTAAGTATGATGGATGACCTAAATTATACTAATTTTATGTCATTATTTCGGCACACACACACAAAGGGAAAGAAAACACCCTGATCAATATTGTGATAGGACATTTCACTTGGGTGCAATTTTTTTTCATTTCATTTTTGAATATTAACAAAAATTGGGAATAGGACATCTCACTTTAAGGGTACATTTTTTTCAATTAACTTTTTGATATAACCTGCGAGGCAATGTTAGGAGTGGGACTTGTAAAAAGTCTATTCAGTAACCATCTACATGTATGTAGCTCCATTTGGGACGAGGGCCTTGAATCCACCTCTTGAAGTTGAAGGATTTTTGAATATTTTTGTCAATATGTACTGGATAATTTAAGAAGATTATCATTGGAACAATAAATGCCATATTCCTATCTTTGTACAAGCACTTTGCAAAGAAAGCAGTGATTTGAACCAACTTTTGCGGCAGGCTAAACCCTCCAATTTGTAAGACGGTGATTTCATGTAATGTAGTCTAATACCTTTACCTTTTTTTACATAGGCTTTGATACTATAGTAACATTAAATAGTGTTTTGTACAAATATTAAATTTCCATTGTCTAATATGGAGTTATATTTTAGAGGGATTTTCTTTTATTTGATTAATTATTGAAGAAACAATTACTTCCATCCCACTGCTTTCATTTGCAAAGTGCTTTGACAGTCAATCAGAAATGGTACATTGGAAATAATCTGAAGAGATTTTCCCTGACATTAACTAGCATATATGGACATTGATTTTTGTCAATATACCTTCAAATTTGCACATTGCATTTGTTACTGCCAGTTTCCTCTGAGCTTGTTTTTTTTTATTCTGTTAAATGCTGTTTCTGATGAAAAGATGATATAAGCAACCCTATGAAAATTTCTTCCAAAAATTTTGTTTTCTGTTTGGCATCCTTATCTTGTTAACCACTTTTGAGTTGATAAAATATCTATTGTAGAAATGTGCTTGAAATAATCTCAGGAAAGGGAGATAACTTAGAGATAAGAAATAGATAAGCATTTAGAAAAATGGAGATTTTATAATCACAGAAGCAAGTTGTGGAACTTAATAAAAAAGTAAATGAAAAAAACATAAGGTAACTAAAGGAGGGGATGAGAGAGTTGTAAAGACCATGGCTCAAAGGGTGAGAATGATAATTGAAATGTGGAAAGCTACACACACACATGAACACTGAAATCTAGTTAATATTTTGTATGAACCAGGCTGTTAAATACTTTGAAATGAAATTTAGAAATTAAGCACAACTGTTTTAGATGGATAAAACAGATAAGAAATGTGTGTTTTTTTTTTTATAACAAAATGAAATTTAAAGACCAAGATTCAAAACTCTGATATTCTCATTTTTTAGTCCAAGAATGAGTTCTACTATTTGTATGACTTCTACTATTTGTAGGAGTTTTAATCTTCTGAAATTTTCTTTAAGATAAAAAGGAACAGTATTCATTGCATGAAATTGTGGATAAAGTAAAGTTTTGGCGAATTTCAGGTCATTGGGGTTAAGGCTACTAGACCTCAAAACAAATAAATCATTCGTACAAGAACTTTGATGTAATCCAATTTAAGATTCCATTCATGTTCTTGCATATCATTTCAAAATGCTAAGTAGACTTTGAGAAATGATATATATATATCCCCACGACTTTCTATTTTGGATTCACGTGTCTTGATTGTGAATGCTAACAACTTTTGTACCAAGGATACCAATGTAAATTTTATCAAATGTGATTTTTCTGTGTATTTTTGTGTGTCGAACACCAATAGTTGTAGGTGGACTAGCAATCAAGATGTGTCATACCAAACCAAAACAACTGTAAATTTATAAAGAAATAAAATGTCTATATATGGTTCATAGACATGTGTTTATAGTGATGTTAATATCAACATTTTATGATGTGTCCTATTGTAGGTTTTTTTTATATCCTTTATGAAAAAGTTATTCAGTTCATTTTCTATCGCCACAGAAGAAAACACATGTCTTGGTTAAAATTATACAAAATTATGAAAATACACTAAGTGTTTTCCTGTCACTAATTTATGATAGTTTACATGTTGTGAGCAGTGACGCCAAAACATCAGACGAAAAAACAAATTTTTTATGCATTAATTGGTTTAAATCAATTAGAAACACCCAATGTTTTAGTGTAAGAAAATTTCTAAATAAATGTTTAAACATGAAATTTCATAAATTTTTATGGCCCTGCCTAATTAAGATAGTAGAGGGGCGTTATGTTTCCCAGTCAGAGAGTCTGTCAGTCAATTTGTCCTTCCATCCTGTGTCAGATTAAAGTTTTTTGACAAGGTAGTTTCCCAACTTGAAGTTGTGGTTTGATCAACTTGAGACATTGTACAGATGTTCATTATGATGTGAACATTTTTAAATATATGCCAAACTAGGGCTTTGACCCAGATTGTGTGGTTCACTGAACATATGTAAATGTGTTAGTGAGAGCTGTTCTTGGTGTGCTATGGACACATATTTTTTTTTTAAAAGCTATTCTGAGGTTGGAGGTGATAGACTGTGTCCTCATTTGCTATTTATTGCTTTTATTAACCCTATAAAAAAGATATGTGAAGTATTTATGAAAAAAGATTGTATTCACAGCTTCTTTTTAGATCTTGGGTGTGTGTTGAAGGCCTAGATCTTGGATGTGTGTTGAAGGCTTAGATCTTGGGTGTGTGTTGAAGGTCTAGATCTTGGATGTGTGGTGAAGGCTTAGCTCTTGGGTGTGTGTTGAAGGCCTAGATCTTGGATGTGTGTTGAAGGCTTAGATCTTGGGTGTGTGTTGAAGGCCTAGATCTTGGGTGTGTGTGTTGAAGCCTAGATCTTGGGTGTGTGTTGAAGGCCTAGATCTTGGGTGTGTGTGTTGAAGCCTAGATCTTGGGTGTGTGTTGAAGGCTTAGATCTTGTGTGTGTGTTGAAGGCTTAGATCTTGGGTGTGTGTGTTGAAGCCTAGATCTTGGGTGTGTGTTGAAGCCTAGATCTTGGGTGTGTGTTGAAGGCCTTTGATAACAAAGGTAATGCAAATTCTCATTATTTTTAACCCAAATAAATTAATCCAATCCCAAAATGAATCCCTCCCTCAAGATTGTAGTCATAGAAGAGCAACAGAAATGACTGAATTATTCAGGTTACATTATTAGTTTTATAAATGTTCCATTTATATGTATATTGAGCACATAACCATCCTCTGTTTTCTACTGCTACAAGTGAATAACTCAATTTAAGAATAAGCACTAGACTTTACCTGTATCTAATTTACTTAGATGGCTGTTTATATGCTTATTCATGTGTTGTTGTAACTTGCAGAAAGTATGGAAAGGTTTATAATGTTTTTAGTCAAAACACTTTAAATGTTTTTATCGTTTGTTTATTTCATATTGACATCAACTGCACAGCAAGAAATTGGATTATTTATTTCTTACTAAACAGAAATAATAAACAATATTTGAAATTTGTATAAACACTTCAGTTTGTTTTTGAAAAATTGCATACAGTAGGAGTGCAAGTGTCAAATCAAAACAAAACAAAGATATAATCAGAATTTATTGTAAAGTATTTAAACCCATCTTGACATACAAAGTAACTGAAAAGGGGACAATTCAGTGACGACAATGGATTAAGTAATCTTGTTTTGGACTAAAAGAATTATTACAGATAGTTAAGTAAGATCTAATCCTCAAAACAGGTGATATAATATTCCTTTTCACTAATTAAGCTGGTTAGTTGGTTGAGTGGACATTTTAAATCTGCTTCGTCAGTATGTTCATGTTATTTTTCTACTTGCAGGGTGAAGGAGATCTGAATTAAGCTAGTGGCCATATATGTCGATGTTTACTAGGGCCATGCCATTTTCTGGTATGTTATTTTGATTGTAGGTGTGAAATTCTTTGATTTTTCAAGTGACTATGCTTTTAAAGTGTTTAAAAAAGTTGACCAAGGATACTTTTTGACAATGGAAAATATTTTAAAGAATTGAGGTCATTTTGACCCTTCATCTGTTTTTTTTTTTTCTTCCTTTTTGGGGTTCCTTTTATTGGTGAGTTATTGTTGCATTGGCATTTACCCAATATATGCTTTAATTTATTACTCATGAAACCATGAACAATTTGTTGTTAACTCTCTATGTAGATTAGCCACACATTAATTTCTAATTTTGAGAGCAACTTCTCTGCTTCTTTCCTCCTTTTTTCATTATAGGCTGTTATTTTTCTAATAGAATTAAATGAAAAATATTGCTTGTTTCTTACACAATTCAGAGTGCCCAAGCTACCTGCCATGTTGTTTTAGTCAGTTAATTCATTGATGTTTTGATTAATTTGAATCCTGATTGTAAAATAAAATTACGCATTACGCATTTAAAGTTTTAACTGCATTTAGTGTAAAATGAGGTATGTCCTGTCAACTTGAGATATGTTCTACAGTAAATCTCCTTTCGAAACATATCTTCTGGAGACCCTTCTTTTGGAAAGTTTAAAATGAACATTGAATTAATCTGCAGTGGCGGATCCAGAGGGGGGGTTCCTGTGGTTGGGACCCCCCCCCCTTTTTTTTTTGGACGATCAATGCATTTGAATGGGGACATATAGTTGGAACCCCCCCTTTATCCTGGGTTGGGAACCCCCCCCCCCCCCCCCCCCCCTTTTTAAAATGTCTGGATCCGCCCCTGATCTGCATAAATAAATAGAATAGAGAATGGAACAGGGAATGTGTCAAAGAGACAACAACCCGACCAAAGAGCAGAAAACAGCACAAGGCCAAAAAGTATTCACGCTATGCTAAGTTTCAGAAGAATAATGCTTTCAGCTTTGTCAGGGGTTTTAACTTATTATTAAAATCAAGGATGAAAGTTAACACATTAAACTTTAAAACATATTAGGATTAGTATATTATTGTAGAGCTTCATGTATCAACCTTCCATTGGAGAATATTAAATGGAGCCATGTTTCATTCTGTTGCTTAATATTGTTCTTTTTTTGTTCATTTTATCAGGATGATAGCAGAGTAAAAACTTAAAGATCAATGTCTGTCACCTTGAACGTCACCGTGAAAAGTCTGCACTGTCCATGATCACACTTTTGCTGAAAGAACTTCTCCCTCAGAGACCATTCCATGTAAAGCCTGATACCTCACTTTCACAAACATTTCTACAGGAGGTAAAGTTTTCCACCTCTAAAATCAATTTGACCACCTGTATTTTTCGATTTTTCTTTAGCCAGCATTTGCAGTTGAAACTGAGGGATAATCTTTTCAAATTATGAAGACACATTAACAAGTATTGAACTCATTTGACATTTGTTGAGCTATTTTCTATATTATATTTTGAGTGGGAAAGAATTCAGGATTCAGAAGGACCGGTATTGTTTCCTAACAGTAAGAAAAAGCTATAAAATACCACAATGATTTTGTATTAAATATTAGGCATCTTAAAAAGGATAGTAATTAGCAATAGTTTCTTTAAAATATTTGTTTTCCCTTTGACCAAGTATGCTAAATGCCTTTGGCCTATGTTTACTAATCTTTATAATAATGATGATCCCATTTTGTTCATCTTTGTCAATATATATTGTGTAGTTTAGTAAGTACAAATCTAGCAGATAGAAAACCATATTGTTAGATCCATTGTTAATCCTATTGGATTCGTATTGAACATGTTGGTAAACGTGATTTAATCTTAAAATCCCTCCATTAATTGTCATACAAAAGACTTTTACACAATATTGCAAAAAAAAATTTGTGGATGTAAAATTTCTTTACACTTGAGAATTATTTTAAAAGCCAGGTGTAGATCTCTTGGAGATTTTTATATATGATATATATGGTTTAATCCTGATTTTATTGTATTGATTTTTCAAACCAATTATCGCTTCACCACAAATTTACAATAAAATGAGGATTTCTTGGCTAATACTTAAAATTAACAGTTGCATGCAAATTTATATCAATTCATATGGCTGTTTTCTTGTAAAAGGTTGGCAAAAATTACAGTGCCGGAACTTTTATCACTTACTGAAGTCTGAAATAACACATAATAAACTCCCTAGTATAATTACTGCTTTGGAAATGTTCTTTTGTGTGAGAAAAACTCTCGATTTCTTCTGATGATTTCTCCCTCTGAAAGTTCCGACAGAAATAAAAAAGAGGTTTATTGTTTTGTAATTCAGTTACGAGTATTGGAATACCATTCTTGGTTCAATGATGTTTCACTGGTAATCAAATTTATGGAGAGACAGCAAAGAGAAAACTGGATTGAAGTTCTGTAGTTAAATTTAATTTTAGATCAATGTTTGTTATATAGTTGAGAGGTTTTTGAAGTGGAAACTGACAAGAAACATGTTAAAATTGCATTGGATGGAACGTTCTGAAGCTTTGAATATGAAAGCATGGAAAAGAAAAAAATGCTGCTTTCTTGATTTTTTTTTTATTTGATGAGGGACTGAGTGGCCATAGATTGAATAGGAAAATGAATTTAAAAATGTCACACTGACCCATATAATTAGAGAATTCGAAACCAAAGATTGATTTAGATAATTGACATAGAAACCCCAATGACTGAACATGGCAAAGATAAAAAAATATAAATATGAAATGCAAATTGAGTGGGAATGAGACTGCCACAGGAAGAATATGGAGATAGATAGGATAGGAAATCTAGCCTTGGCATGTGATTCAAAAATAGTCTTTTCTTATCTAATAATGTTTAGGTGGTCCTTTTCTTCCAGAGGCATCTACTTGCAATGATTTGCACATATGATACATCCGAAAGAGTTGAGTATATCACTTGTGGGTTTCAAAAAAATATGCATAACTTCATACTTAAGTCTTCCAGGATATTGGATACACTTGAAATTGTTGTTATAGTAGTGAGCATTTTAAAAACATAGGAGAGTGACAGGTTAATAGGAATATAAGAATTGTACTCTAATGAAATGTATGGCAATGCATGTCTAAATAATTGAAAATGTGCCATCTGACTTGATTAGTTGAAGCAGTTGAAAAGGTCTGTTTATGGAACTTATCATTCTCCTGAAAATTTAGATTTCAAAAGGTCATAGAAAATTCTATTAAGGACCCAAATAATGGATATAAAGGATATTTCCTCTGCATTAATTCTTTTAATGTTCTATCCCAAAGGCAATTTTTGGAAACTTGAGTTGTTCAAGGATTAAGTTATATCATGGACTGTCATAAGAAAATGAGATCACAGTTCCCTTATCATTCATTCATTGTTTTTGAGGTCAGTTTATGGTTGAAATCAGAACACGAGCAACCCTGAAATAGGACTGAAGGCTGATTTACAATACAGATTGTAGGGCCATCCATTCAACACTCTATCATTCTGTCTCAGTTGGTATAATATGACGTCATATAATTTATTTAAGAAAGGAGAAAAATGATAAATTTTATAAAGATTTTAAAGTACAGTTGTAAATTTGTAAATTGTTGTCAGATGTCTCCTTGTCATAGATGAATGCATGTATACTAAGACCTCAGATTCAAGCCCTCAAGGCAACTTCTGACAAGTTAACTGGACTATTTTTTCCACAAGATTTAAGTGCAGTTTTGTTTGTTTTATTAAAAAAAATTATTTTACCTTACTGATAGTAAATAAAGACCACTGCATAGGAATATAGAATTTCAACCTTGGATGAATTATGACTTTAACCCTTTATGGTGACATCAAAATCATCTAAGTTTTGATAAAGAAACTCTTATCAAAGCAAGTGAATTGAAATTTAAACATTTATGAAATTTCCATAATTTATTGGAGGGATCAAGGAAGGTTTATATTAACCAGGTAGTGACGCAAATCATGCACTGTGTGGCGAAATAACTGCAAAAACCTTCCAGATATTTGGCAATCAGTGGTCATCTTTATGACTTTCTATATTTGCTTGTCCCTGGACGTGTCGTCTGCTGTTGACAATTTCTAGCCCAGTCCACTTCCTGTTCAGGTCAAAGTCATTTGACACCACAGCCAAGTTTTATGGACCATCGTATTATGATCTTGATGTCATACCCCTGAAAAGATATTCATCAGTTATTTTATGACGGGGAAAAATCATTATAGTTCGGACATATATAACAACACCATCATGTCAGAGTTTGACAGATTGGAATATAGCTAACTAATCATATTTTAACGACACCATCAAAATTTGACAAAACAAATCGATATCATATTTGTGGTAATTATATCATTATATTTTAGATGAGTTGTTATTGCATGTTGTCTGCCAGAAAACTAATTGGCAAATCAAAATGATCAACTGGACACTATTTGCATTTATAATATAGGTATCTGGTACCACCAAATACCAGTGTACTGAATTGATACTTAGTCTTAATAAATTTTATGCATCTATATATGTCCTGCTTATTATGACAAAGCACATTCATAAAAATTCTAGACCTAAATTAGGAGTCACTATTTTTTAAGATCCAAACATTACTTGTAATCATCTGCATTATCATGATCTTTGTATGTGATATCGCTTAATTCAGTATACTCTGTTTTTATAAGTACAGATTTTTTTGAAATTATTTTGTTAAGAGAGAGTTGCATTTATAAAAGATGAAATATTTGGTAGATGCTTAATATTATGAGTCTAAACTTTAACTGACCCTTTTTTAATATTAACGACCTTTAAGACTTGAATTGGTGTTCGTGCATGTTCATTATTTTGAGGATTTGAAATTACAAAAGTCACCTATCAAATGAGCAATGATTTTGTTTATCTAAAAAGCAGAATTATCCTTGTTTTACTCATAGATTAACAACCCTTACTAAAACATTTAAAGTTATTAATCAGTATAAACACCTAGAACCCTTAAAAAGCCATTCCATTTTTTTTTATTAACAAAAGTAATGGAAAATAAAATGATAAAATTGTTAATGCTGCATGAAAACCCATTCTAACAAGCTTTTTATACAACTGCAAAATTTGCCTTCGTAAAAAATTATAATGTTATGACTTTGTCAGTGGCGTCATCGGTTTCCAGAGAATAACTTGAGTATAATTGTATAGATCTTTATGAAATTGTACCACAAGGTTCTGTACCACAAAAGGAAGGTTGGGATTGATTTTGGGGGTTATTGTCCTAACTGTTTAGGAATAAGGGGCCAAAAAAGGACAAAAAAAGGCATTTTTCTTGTTTTAGGACAATAACTTGTGTATAAAGTGTATGGATCTCTATGAAATTGTACCACAAGGTTCCATACACATACATCAAAATGAAGGTTGGGATTGATTTCCTGGGGTTATGGCCCAAACTGTTTAGGAATTAGAGGCCAAAAAAATAAAATTTAGGGTTTCTGGACAATAACTTGAGTATAAGTCTGTGGATCTCTATGAAACTGTACCACAAAGTTCCATACCATAAAAGGAAGGTTTGGATTGATTTTGGGGTTATGGCCCTAATCTTTTAGAAAAAGGGGCCAAAAACAATACTTTTGTAGTACTTTGTATAAATTGCTTATTTCTTGACCAATTTCAATGGGGTTTGATTTTAAGTCTTGAATTCTTGGGGTTCTTTGATATGCTGAATCTAACCATGTTTTTTTTAAGATTTTTAATTTTGGGGCCCGTTTTAAAATTAGTCCACATTAAGGTCCAAAGAGTCCAAAATAAAATTTTACTTTGACCTATAATTGTTTTCTTTTTACACATTGTGACGAATGGAGAGTTGTCTCATTGGCACTCATATCACATCTTTTTTTTTTGAAGAATTTTGTAGTAGGTTTGTTTGTTATTCTGTATAAATTAATTTTCAGAATGCAATGTGTATTTTTTTTTGATGAAGCAAACCCCTTTAAAAACTATGCTAATATTGTCCATTAATAAATACATAAATTCGTGGTGTACTAGGATATACTGAATCTAACCATGTATTTAGATATTTGATATAGGTTAAAGTGCAATTTAAAATTTTTCAGTTCTTCTTTGACCAGATTCATTTTGTTTCAGAAACCTATGCTGTGTCATATATTTGATCACAATCCAAATTCAGAGCTGTATCAAGCTTGAATGTAGTGTTCATTCTTGCCCCAACTGTACATGGTTCGACCTCTGCAGTCGTATTAAGCTGTGTCTAGCGAAGCATTTTATTTGATAATGAATATCTAAAATTATTAAATAATTATCAAACATGTTGATAGCCCATCAATGTTATTTTTGGAGCTTGTGCCAACAATAAGGACAAAAACTCTCCTGGCAATTATACAATAAATATATGAAATATTCAAAGGAAAAATCCTAAATTGAACTGGAAAAGCACCAAAAAATACTGCTTAGGAACCTCTTCAGGTCATCTTTGTTTACATA